AAGCTGCTTCGGGAAATCAAGAGATGGCAGTCCGGACCTGGTAAATGTGCATCACATGGGGCGCCCCCTAAGGAACGACTACCGCAGAACCTACTACTAACTTTCAAACATCTAACATGAACTGAGGGTGATGTTCGATAATGATAATGGAGCATTTCCATGACCTTCAATGAATAAGGTAAATCAATAAGCTATCAGTTGGACAAAAGGCATTAGGTTCCATGTTTAATTGTGAACTCTAAATTGGAATTTCCGAATAACTCAAACTGCTTTGAGTATTCTTAAGGGACATAACCTCTTGGCCATATACATAAAAACTGAGCCTGTGCAGTTTAGCTTTTCAATTAGAGGTATAAAAGAGCTGTCGAAAATGCTCAATTTCGTCGACCTGACACTCCAGTTTGAGCACTTAAATATTAGTGGAAAGAGAAACTTGAAGAAAACTAAGAAGACTATCGTATAGGGCAAGGAATTCTCTGCCAAACAGTATGATCTTCAATGGCAAAACTTTTCGTCTTCAGCGCAATATTTCGAGTGAGAAAAAACGCCATTGCTAATGGCCGACCCAGCATGTGACGGTTTGAGGAAATCACGATACTGCGGAAGTAAGAAGGTGTACGTGTCCATCTGAAGAAAAGACGGACAATGGATTAACAGTGGTTGAGGGTTCACCCCAGTCTATAGGAGAAAATGCCGATTATTCCGGCGTTTCAGCAGATTCTGCATTTCTGTATGCACAGATTCGTCATTTCGTCAGTGTAGCCTTGTATGAACGTTGCCTAGTGCAGCCGACGGATTCACAATTTTGGTGGAACGATGGTCCAAGTTAAGACTGAATCGAACTGCGAGAAAAGCAAAAGTCCAACCTTATCTAGCTGCTCAATAACGTCATTGGCACGTTCGCACCGCGCCCATTTCTTTTCGACCTGCAACGAATGCGATATAAGTGTTTTAGGTTGTATAGACTCAAATAATGCCACGCGCATACACTCATGGGAAAAAATATACCTGTCTTAACTTCATGCTTAGGTCACCTATTTGATTGTTAATATATCCAGCATTTGTCAAAAGAGGGGAGCTGCTCAATGTGTTCAACCAGTAAGTGTTCCATAAAGCAGATAGAATATGGGAATCTGTAAGGTACAAATTACGGAGTCACTCGATGGCAGGATTGGAAGTGTGAAAAGCACTCACCTAATTCGGATTTGAAAAAAGTAACATCTAACGAATAGTACTGCTTGCAATGTACACCAAAATCTTCGATTTTGCTCAGAGGAATAGACTGATACTCAGATGGCCCTTCTTCGACAGGAGGTTGATATCCTTGGGGGTAAGTCCGGAAAGCTCCTATGTCAACCTGCCAACATTTCAGAATTTAAAAGAATTTCTTTAAATGATCTCCTTAGGGCGCCTGTTTTATCGACGGAGGGGGGGGGGGGGGGCGTTCTGCTTTTCGCAGAACTGCCAACCCATCTAAGTACCCTTTTTACGAGTAGACACGTTTTAGTATGGTGGCTAGACGATCTTGCTCCATTCGCAAGCGTTCACAAATTTTACCAGAGTAAGATTTGTAAATTCGGAACCAGGAAGAGACAGTTATAATATAAATGCCCCCGTCGATAAAAAGCGCTGATCTGTAGAATCTAAATCACCTTGCCAGCACTCATGGTGCGTAGAGGATCGACAACTATGGCTATCCAGGGTTCTTGAAACTGCTGATTGAGACTCTGCGTAGCAACATCAATTCCTGATAACCAACATCCATAACCAGGATGTGAGTGGTACCAGCCAACTACCTGAATGGCGCAAAAATACAGAAAATGGGAGGAAACTGAAAACATCAAGAGTGTGCGATGATGCAAACGAAAATGTAGGTCGTTCAGCGCAACTCGGCGACGGGCTAGAGGGGGGGGGGGGGCGCACTTCCGCTACTCCCCATTGTCGTGCTCAACGCTTTAAAGAACATTTCCTCTAAAGCGCTGAGAAGTAGTTTCAACAAGGTTTGACTGGTATCCCTTCAGGGCTGCACAATGTTTCTCAAATCTACACTTGATAGCTCAACACGATAATAGGAAGCAGCTGAAGTGCAAAATGCCCCCACTCCTTGACGAGTTGCGCCGTTCATCTATGTTCCGTAGTTTATATACCCCCATTAACAGAACTTTATGTTGACCATACACAAGTAAAACCACGAACCTTCTCCTTCTTGCCCTCTGCTTCGCAAAGATCTGTATAAACTGACATGTACTCGTACGCTTGTGCTTGTGCGTTTACCCTGCATTGAAGATATATAAGGAAGAGATTCACTACCCACCTATCCACCAAAAATTTATAAGATAATGATAAAAAATGTGTGATTGTCGTAGAAAAAGGGCAGCACACTACTAGTTTCTGTTACGCCTCAAACAGGTAAGAGCGCGAATTGCTATCCATGTATGATGAAAGCATTTCCATCTACCGCGACCTTGTGCATAAAGACCGCATTACCTAGAAAAGCTTTATGCAAGCCACGGGACCATTGTGCAGGAGAAACAATAGCACACAAATAAACTCACTTCCAAATTTCCGCCTCGCCTGGAATGAATAACCATTTTCAAGAGCGCCACTGCGGAAATCCTCACCTGAAATATAATCGTGTATGAACTCCGCGAAGAGTGAAAAAACGATTGAGAGCGATAGGTCTGATTCTAAAGAGAAAGTTGGTCTTTAAGTTGCTCACGCTACCCTCTTATGTTGAGTATAATGTAAAAGCAACACAAGTCACAACAACTTCTCCCCTTAACGCTCAATGACCACGCCAACGCTACGAAGAATCAAGGCAACCGCTTCTGTCCCAATTCTCCCAAAAAATGCGCTTTGGACCGACTTTTTTCTCCGTGGACAGAATTGGCTGAAAATTTGTTCCCTGGTAGTGGTTTCACCTCCTGAGCATGAAAATCTTATCCGCTCGGCACGAAACCTCCTGCTCGCGCTCAACCGCGCCAAAATACCCTAGATCGCAAAATTAGCTGAAAACTTGTTCCCGGGGGTAGTCTGACCTCCTTAATACGAATGTCACATCCGCTGAGCATAAGACCTCCTGGCGTCAAAATACCCCAGATCATCCGGCTTCTGTGGCGCGGGCGCCAGGAAGTTTCGGGCTGAGCGAATGCGATACTCGTACAGGAGGTCAAGCTATCCCAGGAGACAACATTTGAACCAAATCTGTCCATGGAGAAAAAAGTCGGTCAAAAACCGGCTCAATTCTGGAATGGCTGGGGCAGTAAAGGGCAAATAAGGCCAGAGGCAAAGTTGAGGTCATTGGGTATAACAGGCCCCTATACGAACAGATGATGGTATCAAAGTGAGACTCTCCAGAAAGAAAGAAGCAAGTTACCGTATTTACCAATGAAATCTAATTTGAGTTACACTGTATCCGGATTGCTTTGTGAATAGGTCTGAAAGGGAACAACCATAAAAATGCCAAGAGCACCACGGCTGGGTAGAAACATGTAATACGAATCTCGCCGCAAAAGCGATATGGGATGCGGGGGTCTTAGCTTTGCCAGTCAAGGAGGCATGTAATTTGCCGCGCTGCTGGGCGTCGCGTGCGACGTCCCGCCCGCAAAGGACGATGGTTTCAGGCAGTAGATGGCGACAACATGCAATTAAGGACCGAAAACAGTAATGAGTGTCTACGATGACGGGTCTACATGAAGTCCGGTGCTTCATTCGACAGGTTAAAACGAGTTATGAAAACGCCGCGCCCATTGCGCGCGGCCACGTGGTGGTGGGCCGAATTTACGATTCCTCTTTACCGTCTCCCGGATGCGGTCACTTGGAGAAACTTTTGCCAGTCAAGGAGGGAAGGAGCTCTAGGATGGGTTACTTACTGTTTACTAGCAGTAGGACCCTTCGATATTTCATCCAAAAAAAGACAACAAAAATCCTTGAAAATATTTGTCATGCTATAATTTGGTGCTCACCACTTTCGTCAAGCTTGACCTGTTACTTCATTCAAATAACATAACAATTATAATCTAACTTACAGGCTAATTAGTGAAGTTACTCTTGGATGCATGGGACGACATTTAGCAAGCTGAATATTTTTGAAAATCTTCTGATAGTCTTGAGCATTTTGGATTGGAATTTCAGCGTCTCACACTATTGTTATCCATTCAGACACCACGAGAAGTCGAGAAAGCACACCAAATACAGCCTTGTTCGCTGGGATGTGGGGCTGTCAGGGGGATGGGTGCCGCGCCGCGCCAGTATGTTTTCAGCCTGTTATTGTTTTGACTTGTGTCAGCAATTAGCTAAGGACGGTTCGAGGCAACGCCAAACCCAGCCACCTGACACGCCCCCCTCCCCCTCCCATCCGCAGCGGACAAGACTATACAATTTCTCTGGGCAAAGAGGAGAATTCGCACTAGACGGATAGCTTGACAGACAATAGAGTGTATTCACACTTCTTGTCAATGTTTTGCGTGTACGTCAGCAATTATAGCGACTAAGAACGTAAAGTACCGATGCAGAGCGATGTCAGTGTTCACTCAAAGCACCAAAAACCGTCAGCAGCCGCCCGAGACCCTGCTGTTCCTTTGCACACGCTCAAATTGCTGGTGTACGCTTAAAATGCTAATCGATCCCTCTACTTCCCAAGTCGCTGAAAACGCTGACGCAAAGTTTGAAAGCACTCTTTTAAGCCTAACACCGCGCAGACATAACCCGCACTGTCAAATGGTTCCGCTCGTGCAAGAACCTATTTGAAAAATACTTGTCTAGCTATAAAAATCGATGAAGAACAGGAATCAAAGAAAATAAAGTGAACTAGCACAAAATAGTTGATAATCAATCAGTAGGTACAGCTTACTTCCTTGAAATAATGCGGATCTTTTTGCCAGGGTTTGGCCGAACGCATCTCGTTCTGCTCGACTTCGTCATACTCATATGCGGAATCCATAACGGTGACACCGTTAGCGAGTTGCCAATTGCGCAGTGCGACCGACTCTTCAGATTTTGACCCCGAAGCGGTTGGCGCTGACGCCTGCTGCTCTTCCATTTTTTCCGACATCTGCAATACGACGATCTATCAAACATCACACAGGACGCAAAGATCAAGTCATAGTTAAATGAGGTTACGACGTCAAGACGGCAACGACTCAAGGAATACTACATACAGCAGATCACGTTGACTCTGAGGCACGTTGACCCTCCCTCGCAGGTCTACATTTCACCACAAGAGCCCTGAGTTATGTACACAAGTCTTAACTCCAGGCGGTACATGAACCCCAGCTCGCGCTTTCCCGGCGCGCGACCCAATTTTTGCGGGAGACGGTAAAGACAATCGTAATTTGTCGCTTTGTCGCACGCAGCGGTGTGCTCGGCGCTTTTTTAATTTGCGTCAGCCTGTCAACTGGAGCACCGGATTTCGGGCAAACCACGATACGAGGGCATCAATGGCACTTTTAGCTATACATTAACGACTGTCGTCATCTGCGACTCAGAGGAATGGTCATGCGCGACGTCAGACGCTGAGCCCACCAGTGCAGCGAATTACGATTGTCCTGGCTTATGCCGTTTCTTGCCCTTCGAAACTGTTTATTAAGAGGGAATCTGGCATCCGGATCCTACGCGAAGGTCAAATCCTTCGGAAAACAGCCATTTTACGGGGACAAGAACTGCGTGAATTGAACGTGTAATTTTAGAAAGAAAGCCGAAAATCGCGTGAGCGCAGCAGCGCCACCGCATTGGTTCCTGTAACACAGAGCCTTTACGTTTGTAAGAGAATCCCCTTTTCAATGTGTAAAGAAATCATAAAGCACTTTCAGCGTTGCTGTAACCTCGATGAATGACATCATCGTGAATTTGGATTTCAGTGAAAGATAAAAAGCTGAATCGCACATCCTATCACATTATTTAATCACCAGAGTGGTCAATTAAAGCCTTACGGGTCTCCTTCCCCGAGTGATATAAATGGGAGTTGTGAGACAATTTCTATCTTAATATTGAAAACTTAGGATTAAGTCAATATGCCACGATAGACAGAAGTACAAAGGATTCTAGTGAATCTTGCTGAAAGCTACATAAAGCAAACAAAGAAAGCAAAGCAAAAGATTTTTAACATGACATCACAGTGTCACAATCGCGCAATTATTGTGCCAGCGGTCGCGGCGCGGCGCTCAATTAGAGCGCGGCAGTTCTATGCATGAATGTCACAAAGGTGCCTTGCATTCATCAATGATAGCACCAGGCAATGACAAGTACGTCAAAAGGCGTTTATCTTGATGCTTAGAGGCCATAGATGCCACTGTCACAAGCGTTATAGCCTTCTTCTTTTGATATGACCATTACCATTGTGGGTCGTTCTCGTGGTCATTGAAAAGAGTTCTTTTCATGATTTTGCAACATCCGCGCTGTGTTGAATTGATGGTCCATCCATCGAGGGTAAATTGAAAAAAAAAACTAAAACCGTTTCTCAAACGAGACTCCCACCTTATCAGCTTCTACAGTGGGAGTGCCAGAACGCAGATAGACTTTGTCCTTGTTAGACACCGCGACCAAGGGCTCATCACGGACGCGAAGACGGTGCCGTACGAGACAGTTGCCACACAACATCGCCCACTAATCTGCACGCTAAAGATCGCAAAGCTCCGGTCCAAACGGGTCGAGCGATGTGGTCCCGAGAGGATTAAATGGTGGCGCTTGAAAGAAAAGGAGGCAGCTGTGATCTCTCGTATACGACTTCCCACCGTCACGACTGTGAGACCTGGAAAAGTGCTTCTAAGGCGATACATGAGGCCGCTCGTTCCGAACTTGGCGTCACGAAGCCGGGAAGGCGTAGAATTGATAAGCAGCCGTGGTTATGGACCGACAATGTCAAAGAAACGGTTCGCGAGAAGAAGAGGCGCTACCACGCGTTTCTTGCCGACAAGTCAGCTAGTAGCTGGCGTAAGTACAAAGAAGCGAAGAATGCAGCGAAGAAGGCTGTGGCTGCAGCGAAGGCCGCCCACTTCAAAGATGTCAGTAAGGAACTCGATTCACGCGATGGAGAGCGGCACCTCTACCGACTTGCCAAGGCTCGGCATCGTCAGACCGAAGATATCGAGAAATTTCCTGGCGTTAACGACGAGCATGGCCGCCTTTTGATGGACCGAAAGAGAGTGCTGAGGCGATGGCACGACTTCTTTGAGAATATTTCAACCGTAGAGTATGCGCACCCGGCCATCCCTTTCGTCCCCCCCCAGTATACGGTCCCGTTCAGA